AAGATAGCCCTGTGGTTAGAGGATTAACTTGGGAAATCTGCAGTTAGGTTTTCCTGTCCAGCCATGAATTCTTTGTATGGTTCAGGATACGGCCATGCAATGCTATGCCAGTTGCCACAAAGAACCTTGAGCTTCCTCACTGGGTTGCAGTTAACCTTTGTGGATATATTGTAGACTCCCTACTTTAGTTCCCCATAGCAAAAGAATAAAAGTAACTTCTGTACCTCTGAGGATTAGTGTCAGAAACCAGGGATATATTCAGTCTCTGGGATAATGCCCATCTAAGAATTTAGAATAGAGTGTTTGGTATTGTGCCTGTTAATTACAGGTATGAGTGTCACTGTTGCAATTTACTCCATGTGGCCAAGCCCTGCTTCTGACTGAAGTGCCACCAACTCCAGTAAAAGTCTACACATGTTTAACCATCCCTGAATGCTCTGGGGGAAGGTCGACTGAGTCGTGGATGTGCCACAGAAGAGAGCCAAGAGCTCACTGACAACCCCTTCTCTGTCCTTGGGAAAATTGCCTGTTGTGCCTGGTACATGAAGCTAAAACCCTTGAAAACTGTGAAGTGTTCAGACACTGACTACACTGAGTAAAGCTGGATAATTTGGTAGAAGGAGAGACAGACTGAAAAGTCAGGCCTTTATTTATGCTTTTATTTCAAGAACGGTTATATCCTTTCTTCCTTTCAACACATACGGTCATAATGTCATGATCATACAATCAACAGTGATTGAATAAGCATGAGTTACTGTCTGACACTTGAACCTTACCAATTAATCAAAAGCACGACTGCATCAACTGTGAAATAAAAATACATTTTGGTAACCTGCCCTTAAACTCCTTTAGAGTTTACTTTGCATTTGGGGCAGGTTAAGAGCATTATTAGTAACTGCAACCTGGTTTACAGGTTTCAGTCTTTTTCTTAACATCAACTCAATATCCATTCCTGAAGAGAAAACAGTAATTTACTGAAACAAAAAGCCTTTAGTGCAAGTTCTCTTTCTTTGCCTGACATTCAAAGTGGCTATGCATAAAACTTATGTAAAATAAATGTTTTCCTTACCTATAAAAAGGAGTTAGTTTTTCGATAATCTATTTTTTCCTCTTTACTCTGTGCATGTTACCTGTTAAAATCTATATTTAAAGAGAAGTTCACCCCATCTTCCCCATTTACCTTTCTTTAACTATTTGAATGCCATTCAAACATGGCATTTTTTCTGTCTCTTGTTAAGATTGCACTGTTTGCTTTTAACACACAAAGCAAAATGTTGCCTTATCCTTTACAGGCCTAAAGTAAATAAGACAGTGAGAAATTTCTAGGCAGCATAGAAAAGAGTAGTTCTATAAAATGTTTATTTTCTAATACACTAACATTATTTAAATAATATAAACACCAGCTAGATGAAAGCTAGGAATTAGAAGAACTTCAATTTTCATGACTTACAGTGAGCTGCATGAGATCATGCATGTCAGATCTCTTGCTCTGCTACCTTTATGTAGGGATAGGTACAGTTTCGGAAGAATTTATGACAAAAAGCTAGAACTTGATTTTGCTTAGGAAGACTGTAAAATGCCTTCTCAAAGGGGTTAGATGTCTGTTGTCTTCCTTCTGCATTTCAGAGAAAGTTGCAGGGAGAAGCTGTGAGCAAGCTCTCTCTCCCTGGTATGCAGAGACATAACATGCAGACATGTACAAGGCCTCCTCCAGCCAGGGAGGGTGGGGGAGAAGAGACAGAAGCCACAAAAAGCCTTGGAGAAGGTGGGGCATTGCCTTTTTTCCCTGGGGGCCTGGTGTGTGCAGCATCATTAGGAAGTGGTCCTTGCATCTGAAATAAACCTTTTTTAATCCTTCCACTGCCTTGGCATTCTTGGGAAGAATATCTGCGTATGCTTTATCTTACACTTTATCAGGTTGCTGATTTGAGATATTACTAGCGAAAAGAATTGAAATTTTTGGTGTGTGAATCTTGTAACAATAATACCTATCGCCCTGAACTCTGTTGACAAATAAATGTTATAGGAAAAGCTATAAAATATTGTTTTCAAGAACAGATTATGAACACTCGGGTAAGCTTTTTTTGAAGGAATCCATTGCATTTCTGCCTGTTTTATCTAATGAGGTCTTTCGTAGAATCAATGGTGTAAAAGAGTTGAGATCAGTCCCATCCCTTGATACCTTTTTCCAATTAAGGCAGCGGATCATTTTATTAATAATATTATTTAATGACTATTCAGCATTTTCACTCTGGTGAGATACTGTGCAAACATTAATTAATCCCCACCAAAGCCCTAAAATCTCACTAGGAAATACTAAACCCGTTTTACAAATAAAGGCCTGGAGTCAGAAATTCTTCAGTTCCAGAGAGATCATAACTTGAAGCTCCTTGGGACAATGAGAGTTTAGAATAAGGAATGGCCCTGCAGTTACAACTACCTTAAAGAACATTATCTTGACTCTGCTTTGACTTGGGAAACTATTTCACTTCGCCGGGAAAGCCCTTTCTGTGTTTTCTTCTGGAATGAAGGTCTCTAGCAGTCCTTCAGATTGAGGCTGTTCATACAAAATAATGAAGTAGTCATTGGGTTATGTATATACAGAAAGAGAGCAAGCCCATTTCCATTGCTCAGTAATTACAGTATTCACCCAGAATCAGATTTCTCTTCAATGAATATTTAACTTTATACTTGTGCAACAGCAGTAAAAAGTGGAGACTGAGAAATATCTAATAGTTTGCAGTTTTTTCACTAATGTTATATTCAGTTAATGGATTTGAACTCAAATCTTCAAGTGACAGAACACAATACTGGAGGAAAGACAGAAGGACAGACAAATATATCCTACGCATTGGTAGAGGTGTAATACACTAGCACAGCTATAACTACAGAGCTTGTCTACACAGAATTTAACTTACTATCCAACAACTTTTATAAAAGCCTTATCAATTTCAGTGATTTTCTCTAGGGGAGAATGGGACATCATATGTTTTTACTAATGGTATCCAGTGTGAGACACTGAAATGGTTAATTTAATCCATGTGTTTTGACCACCTACAGTTTGATAGTTAAGTCAGAAGGACAGGATTGTCTTCTGAAAATATTAAAACCACTCACCTCTTTCTATGAATGATCTAGAGTTCTTTGGTACTTAGTTTCAGAGAATTCCAATAGGGACACATAATTGAGGAGCAAAGATAGATCGTTCCTTGCCCTTGTTTTTGGTATGTTTTTTTTCAGTCCTTTTGCCATAAATAGCTGAAATTTTTTGAAAGCAGCTTAATTTATTCGTAGTCTGGCTGTGATTTTATGTTTTTGGCTTTCCTGTTTCTCCTTTCTGACTAATCCCCATCTTCTTCTTAGTTAGGGTGCTGTATGATTGATCAGTTAGCACATATCTTTGTGTCAATCTTTATGGCCTATTTTATATGAGGGCCCTTGCTCCTATAGACACCTGACATTTAATACTGTTGACTTATATATCATTTATTCTGGCTTCAGAAATCCTGCAGTTCTTTCTCAACCAAACGGGAAGGAGAACAATTTTGACATACTTCTAGGGTATGATTTATCTCACTCTACACTAAGCTTCTTAAGTAGGCCAAACCTGTTATGTCCTGGAAAGGTCTATCACTCTTCATTGATTCTAAAGGAACTCCAGAGATCTACAGTTTAGACATTACTACTGAATTACTTTCCAGCTCTTAGATGAGATTCTAACCCATCTGAACTCCTTTCTGTGTGCTACGAAATGGGACAGTAGGACAAAAAACCTCCAAACATCCAAGAAGGCTGAGATATTTGCTTATTTCATGACTCCTCCATAGGATCCACTTGTGAGATTCCTAGGAAGCCTCATGTTTAACCATATCTTCTTGCTTACACTGTTTTGATTAAGGTAGAAACTGCCTGAAGGTTCTTCAGTCTCTTCTTAACATCTCCTTCTGTCCGATCTTTGGGTCTGGACTTACCTGTAGCTTTTTTTCACTTGTTTTTGAATATTAAGTCCAATACAGATATTTTTACACTGAACATTTATGGAACTCCCTGATTTGAGTGTAACGGAGTGACAACACTACTTGTTTTAGAAAATCCTGTTCTAAGAGATTGTTCAAACATGACAACCCTTGCGTAAATTCATGTTCAAACTGCTTGCGTACTTTTCCTTAATATAGCAACTATGATTTATCTTCCTAGTAATGTGCAACAATACAGTCAGGGAGAGAGCTTATAGTATTCTTGTCAACTACAACAATATCCTAATAACACAAAATAAACTGTTGCAATGTATTAACGTAAGTATATGCACAAAAAGAGAAAAATTATACTGACTTCTGAAATGTAAGTAAGCTCACACTGAATAAAGGGAGCTTTAACTAGCAAACACACAGAAATCACTTTCCATATTTCTCTTCCAAAAAAATCCACATAAAGTAATTGCACAAAAATCAAAATTTTGATGAATTTCACATAAACCAGTGAGAACCTGAATATGAAAATACAGGAACAGAAACACAATTTTGCACAATCTAAATGTATAAAACTGAAGCCAGTGGGATATTTTACTACTAGCTTTGTAAGACAGAAGCATCAAGATTTCACTTGTGGACTTTAAGATTTTCTGATTTCTCCTTGCTTTTGTTACTTTTTCAAATTGAAAAGGTAACATTGAAAACTCCGTCTGCAATTAGTATGTTTTCTAAGGGGTAAAACAAAGAGAAAAAGACAAAGAAGTAAGGTTGGTAATTCTTCTTTTGAATTCTTGATTGTGTGGGTGTTACCCAAAGCTGATGTTTTTTTGCTTTCCATTCTCTAACCTTATAGAGCAGGTGAGAAATTCCCAGAAGGATTTTACTGAGAGGTTTTTGGCCACTCTCATTGACACCACATGGTGCCATGCCTGCTGTGGGCTCTGTGGCTGAAGGGAGGCTGTACCGCAGAGCAGCCTCCTGCTGCCTCACCCCGCGGCTGCGCCCAGCCTCTGGATGCTCAAGTAGTACCAGTTATCTGAGAGATGGTATCTGTACCTAGCTCCTCCTCTGGCGTCCCTGGAAAACTGAAGCCCGACTTGAGCAGATCGCCACCCTCTTCTTCTGAAAAGACAGAAACAAAGTAGCTATTTAATACCTCTGATATTTTTCTATATCCAGACATAAACTCTCAACTAGTTTTTAAATCCACTCAGTGATATCTATTACCATTCAGTATCTCAGATAACATGAAGCTGATGAGGTGCTATTATCTGCAGTATCTATCCCTCTTTGCCAGTTGTTCTAGTGCTCATCAATTATTATTATTAATTTTTTAATTTTGCCAGACATTTTCAAATCACTAGTGTCATAATAAATGTCTTTTTTATAAGATCTTTTACATTGTTCTTTTCAACTTTTCTCAGTTGCATTGAGTTCTACTGCCTTTTAAGCTTCATGTATTTATTCCAGAAGAATCCTTATTGTCAGTCCTTCCAGTTGCACCTTTAGCACTTTCCACTTATGATTCTCAGGCCACTTTTATTACCTTTTATACACAATCAGTTCAATTCTGCCATTGTGAACTCTGACAGTGATGTGATGGTGACTTTCTCCTACCAGTAACGTTTTCTTTTGTGCCAGACATCACTTCTGTAATTCTGGAGAAGTACTTAAATGCAGGTGATATGTATATTCTGCATGAATGCAGAAACCACTTAAATGGCTTGAGTGCAGCTCTGAGCTACCCTGCTTATACCTCTTTCAGAGTTGCAGTTTGTTGCCTCTGCATTGCCCTCCTGTCATGCTGGAATACAAACTAACTTTGGATCAGGCACTTAGTTTAGATATTTCTATAACAGAGCTGCATATGGAAAATTGGGTCAGTAACACTTCTGTAAATTGCAAGATTGGTTTAAGAATATATAGATTAAGATACAAAATATCACAGTAACGTTTCATGTATTTACCCAATACTATATTTTTAATGAGTTTTATGTTTTTTCCCTATTTTCGTATTTGCTGGTGTCAACACCAGCAAATATGTGGAAATTATTGAGTATATATAGCCTTTTACTTTACTCTTTTTTTTCCATCTGTGTGTGTTACAAGCACAGATCCCTGAGAAGAGCTATGGAGCACTCCATAGCCTCTCACTGTAAGTTCAACCACCAGCTCTTCAGAGAAAGATAAAATCAGGTATTGCAGACCATAGTTTTTGCACAACTGATGACTGATGACTTCTAAATAACTTGCATCAGTTCTTGCTATCATACCCTCAGGTAGACATTGACGAAAGTTTGAATCAACTCAGACTTTTCTTAAGAGTACCTCAATTTCTCTATCAGACAAGCTGGGTTTTTTTGTGTATCTTACAATAGACACACTGTTTTTCCCATTTCAATGCTCCATTTAACAAACACATGCATTTTATATATTTCTTGGTCTTGCTTACACTTTTTATTTGTACTTTGATTTTTTTCCCCAATTATCTCACAGGAAGCAAAATGAGTTAATGTACTCATATGTATCTCTCAAGCAATTACTCTGAGATTTTAACAATTCCTGAGCTTAAGAATATATAATTGATAACAATGGGTAATATAGCACAGATACTGCATAGAGAATTGGTCCAAAGGATGTTAAGACTGTTGGATAGGCTGAGCTGTCAAATAAACATCTTGTTTATAAACTCAATTGTTAAATAAACTCACTGCTAAAATACAGCCTTCAAGAGATCTCAGTAAGTGACAGATAAAAAGTCATACACAATTTTTAAAATGACTGGCACATGAATTTAAATTAAACTTCATTTGGAAAGGTAATGGACATCTCTAATTAAATAAAAGCACAAATTAGGCAGTTCCCATGGAGACCTTGCTCACATGATCCGCCTATATTGTATAACTCATAAGCCTGTCCTCTAACGTGGCTGCACAGGAGTAAGGAATAAGGAATCAAATAAAAGCTATAACAAAAATATTCTAAAGGATTGTTTACATTCTTGTAAATGACTAGGAGATCTTATGCTAACTTCAGTAGATGTTAGATGTTAATAAATATTGAAAATATTGAAACAATAGTGTTGTATTTTTGAAAAGCTATAAATTTATTCCAAAGTTCTACCACGCACACATATTCAGAAACAATTACAGAATTTATGCATAACATTATTTCTCCCTTGCAAGAAATTAGCATTCTATAACAAGCTCTGCCCAAAAGTAGACTAAAATGTTAGGAGTAGGCTAAACAAAACTAAACATTTGTGGGTCTGAAGAGTTGGAGAAAAAAAAAAAAAGAAGAAAATAAATTCCTTTTCAAAATTAAAGGGAAAGGTCATGCAATGGGATCCACAAGTCAGATTCTGACTTTGCTTTAAACATTCCTGTGCAAATTTGGACAATACAATTAATCTCTTTCTGTCTCAATTTTACAGTAGAATTAGGATTAAAATTAATTTCTTTCTTGTAACTATCCTACATGAATACATTTGTTAGTGTCAGTGAGCCTTTTGTCTGGAAGAGCCTATAGAGTGCACAAAGAGATAGAATTTCCTTCCTGCAGAAAACCTGTATTCTGTTTTGAATAGGGTTAATTGCAAATATTTCAAAGGAACTTAGAATTCCTTTGTGATTTCCTTAAGTTTATGAATCTGTATGAGGGATATGAGCAGCTCTTAGCGATTAGTTTACTTCCTAAGCATGAGGACTTCTTATTTCTTTATATTTTATGACTATACCTATTCACAGCACTATTTCATTATTTATATTGTCTTTTAAAAAGACTACTGTCAGTTCCTTCAGTCCTTGAAGACATTCAATTTTTGTATTCTTCACTTACGCGGCATAATTAACCTAGAGTCTCAGTGGCTCTTGCAGTATTACAAAGATAATCTTCATATGAGGCTGAACTGTACTTCAAACTTGTATTATTCCTTCAGAAACAGACATACATGGTCTTTGTTTATTCAGTTTAAATTTCTCCTAGAAATTATAATTTTTATTATTGACCACAGAAATGAAAAGCATGTCCTTCATTCATGAGCACAGCAGAAACCTTCATATGTCATAGTAATGAAGTCATGTAGATTATCACAGAATTATGGCACATTCTGAAATTCACGTGTCACAGAACGAGTGCATTTATTTTATGTCATTCACCTTCTCTATCTCATAAATTCACAGTATCTCAGCTTGCCCTTTGCTACCTACTAGTAGAACATTCTACACTAGTGGACATAGAAGGAAATGGTACTCTTAGCATGGAATGCTTCAATGGGAAATGAATTGCAAACGAAGATGAGATTATGAAAATAGGATGATTTACAATAAAAATTTTTAAGCAATGTATGGAATACACAGATCACAGACAAGGAACACGTCTCAATATACAAACTACTGCATCACAGACGGGTCTAAACAGAAAGCAAGAACCTTCCTCTGAAACTGAAACTAAAAAATAGTGGGAAAAGTCTCAAAAGGGCTCAAAATAGTGACAAAAAATGAAAGGCTCTAAAAGCGCAGACATGTCGGCTTTCATGAAAGTTGAATGTATAGTAAAATGATGCTGTGATCTGCATAAGTAGGAGAGCACAAACTGTCATTTACATGTAGTATCTCATTTTCTTTTTTAAAAAAGTGATATATCTGTCATGCATTCCAGTGCAACACTGCACACATGACACTCAAAACTGTGATAGGAACTTTTCACAGCTGAAGTTCTCCAGACTTAGGCTTGGAAACGTCAGGAGACGTTGCTGAGTTGGAACCAGCTTGACAGATCCAGACGGTTCATTCAGCCCTGAAGTTACTACATGCACAGTGGGAAATGACACAGGCCAGCACCCAAGATCAAGCTGGCATGGCACAGCTTTTGTCCTCAGAACAGGTTGAATGTCTGTGTGCCCTGGCTTGTGCTGTTCCATACCCTGCTAAGGAGACATTATCTAGGGAAGCACTGGTTGGTATGGGCCAAATCTGGGCAAAGGTGTGCTCTGTGGCAGGGATGAATAATCACTTTGCCCATCCTTCAGATTTTATCATCTCAATTTTAACCTGTCAATCTACTATCTGACATGACATATCAGTTTAAATTCTGTTTCTTCACCTGCAAAGTCTTGCACCAAGATATGCCTTTATGTTGGCCCTCATTTTTTATGCATTCATTCTATCCTTAATAACCAGGCATGCTGTTTCCATCTCTTAACTGTACTTCTTCCATAACCTATCCATCCACAAAATAGGCCCCATTCTCAATGGACTTGTTGCTCACATACTTTAAAACGTTCACATCAGCAAGACTTACAATCAATTATCTGCCTGCTCCATATAAGAGCAAGACCGACTAGAACTGATATGGAACTTCTCAGTTCAATGGAATTTAATTTATTTATTATTGGCCCACACTGGACCACACATCAACTTTTTTTCTATATGTACATTTCTTTCAGCCTGCAAGCTCCCTGTGGTAGCTGTTGTTTTTTAGTTTTGTCTTGTAGCGTCTGCTATATTGTCTGACAATAGATGAAAGAAAACATGGACCTTAAAATATCTGAATTAAGCTGCAGCTGCAATTTCATTTGATCATATAATTACAGATCATAGAATGTGTACAGAGTATGAATACAGGCCACTCACCATATCACTCCATGATATGAGAAAACAAAATCACCGCTCCCAGACTAGACATACTTAGACATCTAGAAGAGATATCTCCTGTACCTCAAAGTCCACTAGGCTGCTATGCAATTAAAGCATTTCTTGCAGGTGGCCTTTGACCCTAGCCAAAGATATCCCCAGCCTATTCTGGTTATGTCATGATAACAGACATAATTGTCATGAAACTGGTCCTGACCTAAGGGAAATGACCAAATGGCTGCATGGCTGCAACCTGTTATGGATCCCTAATTCCTCCTGGGAGACAGCTAACTGGATTGGTTCAGACCTTCCTCAAGCAGCCAAAATCACTTCTGGCAAACCTATAAATTTCCTTGTCTAATCCTCAAAAGGTTTCATCCAATCAATATTATAACATCTATATAGTAAATTAGACATGGTGAAGGCTCCTTCTCTCGTGAGGCCAACTGTTGTGGTCTAGCCATATCTTCAAGAACAGGTTGGCTTCAT